TGATAATTTTGTATTCCCACTTGCAATATATGAGACTTTCAGTTGCTGTGCGTTATCACCAGCACTTGGATATGTCAATTGTTTTGGGTGTTTATATTTGAGCTTTTCTAAGGGTGTGTTGTAAGATCTCATTGTGGTTTTTAATTTGTTTTTCCACAGTGATTAGTAATGTTGAGCAGCATTTCATGTGCTTGTTCACCATTTGTGTATCTTCTTCGGTTAAGTGTCTGTTCACATATTTTGCCTATTTTTATTGTATTGTTTGTTGAGTTTTGAATATTCTTTATACGTTTATATATTCTGGATACAAGTCCTTTGTCAGATACGTGATTTGCAAATATTTTCTCCCAGTCTGTGTTTTGTATTTTCAGCTTCTTAATAGTGTCTTTCTTAGAGAAAAGATTTTAAATTTTGTTGAGGTCCAATTTACTAACTTTTTGTTTTATTGCTTGTACTTTTGAATTTGTGTCTAAGAAGTCTTTGTCTAACCCAAAGTCACAGGAAATTCCTCCCGTTTTCTTCTCAAGATGATATAGCTTTACATTTTACATTTAAGTCTCTGAGTCATTTGGACTTCTAATAATTTTTGTGGAAGGTGTGAACCGTGGGTGTCTATCTTATCTAGCCATATGTCATCTATCTATTTATTTGTATATAGTTGTTCCCGTTGGTCAGAACCATTTGTTGCAAAGATTATGGTTTCTCCAATTACTGCTTTTATATCTTTGTCAGAAATCAGTTGAACATATGGGTATGTGAGTTTATTTTTAGACTCTTTTATCAATCTACATTTCTGTCAGTACTACCCCACTGTCTTAGTGTAGCTTAATAGTGAGTTTTGAAATGAGATAATGTGAGTACTCCAGCCTTGTTCTTCCCTTTCAAAGTTGTTTTGGCTATTCTTTTTTTTCCCTATATAAATTTTAGAATCACCTTGTCGATATCTACAAAACAATTTTCTAGGTAGGATATTGATTGGGGTCAAGTTTTATCTATAGGCCAATTTTGGGACTATTGACATCTTAAAAATATTTCACTCTTTGAATATGGGCACATCACATATCTCTCTATTAAGTGCTTTACGCTTTGGGTGGGGTGTGTGTGTCTGTATGTATGTGCATGTTACTTTAAGGAGATAAAAGAAGGAGAAAAAAATAAACAAGTAACCCAGTCTTGTAGTGGTCTTTCTCACACTTTGATGCGTACTCAGTCTGCCTACTATTTTTTACTTTGAAAAGTCCTCGGGTCCTTGCTTTTTTATTACTTCCAGAATTTTCAGTTGTAATTAGTGGAAGCAATAATCATACTGGGCTTACTCCATCATGTTTGGTATTGAAAATTAGTTTTGTTCTTTTTTAATTTTTTTTTATTTCAGCATATTACCAGGGTACAAATGTTTAGGTTACGTATATTGCCTTTGCTCCAGGCTTTAGTTTTGATTACATAAATCCTTCTTATATGGTGATGACCTGGATTGTAGAGCACCCAGAAGTGGTTTATTTGGGGTTTTTCAGTTTGAACAAACCAACTCTGAGACAGCTTCCTGAAGATGGAGTCGTTAAATGTAAAGGATATGCTTTCAGTGCAAAAGTTCGAAGGTGGATAGGAGCCAAGGGGAAAGGGTTGACCATAGGACCACTCTTTCCTTTTATGTCCAATAACGTTTATTTAGGTTCAGGAGCTTCTTCCCTTCTTGACAGTGTCATGATGTGTAATTTAAAAATAAATGAAATGAAAATTGATGTGACAGTTTGCAGAATCACCAGGGTCTGTCTGGGAGCATTTCTTAGCAGGCACTGCCTGTTGATGAGTAACAGGAGGTAGCATGTAATGCAGCATTTCACAATATTACCATTTATTTAGCCCAAAAGAGAATATAATTTCCTGTGTCCAAACACATCTCAGCTGGTTGATAAGCTTCAGCACCTTCCAAACAGTATTATTTCTCCTAAATCTCAAAAAGGCTTATTAAAGAAGTGTAAGTAGCTTCATCTTCTAATAGAAATTAGTAATCAATTTGCCATTTTATCTGGAAGAATTGGAGACCACTAAATGCATTCTCTCAAGCCAATATTAATTGCTTATTTTATTTTTTATGTCCTATTTTTAGGTTGTCTGTAATGTAGACACAAAAAATATATCTAGTCCTTTTTCTTTTTTTTTGGTTATATAATTCTTGAATCTTCAAGGTTGCTTTTATTATAAATTAAGGTACTCCTCTAGAGATCCTCAGACTAATTCTTTACTAAAGCATAGTGCCACAGAACAGTCCAAAGCACCAATTAAAATAATCCACTAAAGTGAATTGCACTAACAATTGTTTGATACACCTTTAGGATATTAATATATCTTTTGTTAGAATAGAAATTTGATTGTAAATTTAGAAGGTCCTGCACTGACTTCTAAATGAGGTCAAAATGTATGTTTGTGAAGCTAGGGAAAATATTTACTTTTTTACAGAGGGATTGTATTTTTGCTATGAAAACTGTTCAGTGTTAATAACAGACAAAATATCTTATGAGTCATATTTTAAAATGACATAACCAAATTAGAATGTTATAGATCTCAAAAACAGATTAGAAAAACTCAGGAATTTATTGAGACTGAAATATATTTTTATATACAAAATTATCCAGATATGTGCAGAAGTCCAATAGGCATACCTTATCAGACATTCATTCATTCATTCATTCACTATTTATGCCCTAGGCACTGCACTAGCCTCTCAGGTTGCAGAAATAACGATTCTAGTTTTTTTTAAAGCCCTCAAGTAGGGCATTGTGAACTGGTTTTAAAATAGAACTGTAATTATCCTTTTCAAATGGATATTTGTACCTTCACTTAGTCATTCAAATAAGGGTGATAGAGCAATTACATTGTACCCATAGGCCTCTAATGGATAGAATATATCACACTATCTATGTAAATGCTTTATTCATAATATATAGCTTTTCGTAGTTTACAAATTACTTCTGAGTTGTACATTTAATTCTCATTATAATCTTCTGATTAGATCAGGCATGTATTAAAAACTCCATTATAGTTAATGGAACTGAAGCAAAAGGAAGTTATATAATTTTACATCCTAGAAACAAGAGTTGAGAAATGGTAGAATTGGGACTCCAAGACTAGTGCTCACTTTATACCAGCCTGCTATTTCTGAAAAGCTGAAAGCCCAGCCTGCTGATCCAAAATTCTGGCATTAAAATTCTCATGATATACTGACTGAGTTAATATTGTTTATATACCTAAGTCTCAGTGTGAATGTCACCTCCCCTGGGAAACTCACCTTGATTGGACCGATCAGGTTCTCATTAACAATCTTTACAATTACTACAGTAATAAATGAATCACTTTGTAACAAACTATTTTAAACATGCATTCCCTACTAAGCTGTAAATTTTATGAAGCTAATTTTCTTGACTGATCTTTACTCTCCCTGTATATTACTAAGCTCTAACAAGCAGATTACGTTTCTGTTCTTCAGACATGCCAAGCCCATTTCTGCCTTAGAGCATTTGCAGATTCTCCTCTGCTTGGGGTTTTCTCCTTAGAGTCAATGGTTTGGACTCCTTATCTGGTCTCAGCACAATGCCAACTCCTTAGAGAGGTTTTTCCTCACCATTCCAGCTAAATATATCATACCTTGTTTTATTTGCTTCATAGAATGTAGCATTACTTGACATTCTGTTGACTTATCTATGCTTTGTTTATAAATTCCCAGAGAACAGGCATTTGATCTGTCTTGTTTACCACTTTCATCCCAGCACTTCAACAGTATACCTGTCGAGAATTAGACACAAATTAAACATTTATTGAATGAATGACTGGAACAATGAATTCATGAAATCTTAGATTTGATGTGCTAGTTAATTTTTTAGTACACA